TTAAACAGATAGACACCCTTAAACATGGAGTTCGTTTACTTAACCTTATTTTCTCAGCAGATTTCACAGCAAGCATGTGAAAGCACAAAACAGGGACTGAAAATATATCAGAAAACACGTACGAGGGTCGGGTTATTACACTCTCCCCCCTTTAAATAAGTTTGGTCCCTCAAACTTGTTTTACCTTAGGGTAGAAATAATTGCGGATACCGGTGTTGCATTTCCTCCTCTCTTTCCCAAGTTGCGTCGGTTCCGTAATGTTCTTGCCATTCCACTTTTACCATTGGAATTTCTCGGTTTCATAATTGTTTCACTTGTCGATCCAAAATGCGGATTGGTTTTTCTTCATAAATTAACTTGTCATCTAGTTCAATTTGGTGATAATCAATAACATGAGACGGATCCGTAAGATACCCTCAAAGCATAGAAACATGAAACACATTATGTACTTGACTCATATGTGGCGGAAGGGCAACCCGGTAAGCTACCGGACCCGCTCTTTCCAGAATCTGAAAGGGACCAACATATCGGCGTGTCAACTTACCCCTTTTTCCGAATCTTGAATGTCCTTTCATTGGAGTGACCTTCACAAAGACATGACTATCCACTTCAAATTCCAAGTCCCTCCGTCGGTTGTCTGCATAACTCTTCTGTCTACTTTGTGCGGTTTTCAATCTTTTCCGAATAGTTTTAACCTTTCAGTGGTCAACTGAACAATTTCAGGTCTGAGTAAGGATTTATCTCCAAGTTCAGCCCAACACACGGGAGAACGACATGGTCTTCCATACAGAGCTTCATAGGGTGACATTTCGATACTTGAGTGATAACTATTGTTGTATGTGAACTCTACCAACGGTAGATGGGTTTCCCAACTATCTTGGAAATCTAGCACACATCCGGAGCATATCCTCTAGAGTCTGTATCGTTCTCTCGGATTGACCGTCGGTCTGAGAGTGGAAAGCTATACTGAACTTTAATTCTGTACCCATTGCTTTTTGCAAACTTTGCTAGAATCTCGAAACAAACTTTGGATCCTTATTTGACATAATGGAGACCGGAACACCGTGAAGCCTCACAATTTTATTCACATAAATTACCGCCAGTTTATCTGCATTATACTGAGTCTTTACTGGTAGGAAGTGAGCGGACTTAGTTAATCGGTCTACGATGACCCATATTGAATTCATCCCTCGAGAAGTCCGTGGTAACCCCACAACGAAATCCATGGTCAAATGTTCCCATTTCCATTTCGGGATTGGAAGGGGCTGTAACAAACCTGTTGGCCTCTGATGCTCTGTTTTTACTTGTTGGCATTGCAAACATTTCGAGACGAACTCCGCGATCTCCTTCTTCATACTTGGCCACCAAAAATTTTGTTTCAAATCTCGGTACATTTTGGTACTCCTTGGATGTATTGAAAATCTTGAGGTATGTGCTTCTTCCATCAGTTTTTGTTTAAGGTTTAACACATTAGGGACATATACTCGGTTTTGAAATTTGAGCACCGTATCTACTAAACTGAATCCTGGTTTCGACTTGGTTTTTAACTCATCACATATCTTCTTTAAAGTTTCATCTTCCATCTGATACAATTTAATTTCCTCAAGTAAGATGGGTTAGGCCATCACTGCTGCCATTAAAGCTTTTTGCCCATGTAATACAAGGTCCACTTCCATTTTAGCCAATTCAGCTGCTAAGCCCTTCTGTCCTGTAACCAAATTTGGTAAGGTCCCCATAATTTTTTGACTAAGCGCATCCGCAACTGTATTGGCTTTGCCAGGATGGTATTGGATCTACAAATCATAATCTTTAATAAGTTCCAACCACCGTCGCTGTTCAATTCTTTCTGGGTAAAAAGGTATTTGAGACTTTTATGGTCAGTGTACACTTCACAAGTAGTGCCAAAAAGATAGTGTCTCCATATTTTCAAAGCAAAGATTACTACTGCTAACTTAAGATCATGAGTGGGGTAATTCTTTTTATAGGGTTTTAGTTAACAAGAGGCATAAGCGATAACCCTTCCATTTTGCATAAGTACACAACCAAGCCCTTTGTGCGAAGCATCACTGTAAATTACAAACCCTTCAGTACCGGATGGTAGGGCCAGCACTGGTGCTGTCGTCAACGTTGTCTTCAATTTCTGGAAAGCAGATTCCCGCTCTTTTGACCACTCAAATGCAACTTCCTTTCGAGTCAGTTGTGTAAGCAGCACAACAATCTTGGAGAAATCTTGAACAAACCGTCTATAATATCCAGCTAACCCCATAAAACTCCGTACTTCAGTCACATTAGTGGGAGTTGGCCAATTCACGATCGCCTCAATCTTGTGTGGATCAACAGAAACTCATTCCTTTGCAATAATGTGCCCCAGAAATGCCACCTCCAGTAGCCGAAATTAACATTTCTTTAACTTTGCATATAGTTTCTTTTCCCAGAGGGTTTGAAGGATCAAGCGAAGATGATTCTCATGAGCTTCTGCATTCTTCGAATAAATGAGAATATCATCAATAAAGACCACCACAAATTCATCCAAATAGGGCTTAAAGACATGGTTCATTAAATCCATAAATGCTGCTGGCGAGTTAGTGACTCCAAAGGGCATAACTAGAAATTCATAATGACCGTACTGGGTTCGAAAAATTATTTTCTCCACATCATCAGCCTTGACCTTTAGTTGATGGTATCCAGACTGTAGATCGATTTTAGAAAAGACTTGTGCCCCTTGAAGCTGGTCAAATAAGTTATCGATTCTTGGCAATGGGTACTTATTCTTGATTGTTACTTTATTAAGTTCCCTACAATCGATACAAAGCCGGAGTGTTCCATCATTCTTCTTCACAAACAATACTGGTGCACCCCACGGAGACACACTTGGACGGATGAATCCCTTGTCCAGTAAATCTTGTAATTGAGTTTTTAGTTCCTTCATTTCAGCTGGTGACATTCTATACGAAGTCTTAGAAATGGGTTGAGTCCCCGGCGCTACTTCAATTGTAAACTCAATTTCACGGTCTATTAACTGCCCTGGTAACTCTTTGGAAAAATATCCGAAAATTCACATACAACTAGAATCATGTTAACATTCCTATTCGTCACTTGCCCCTCCAAAATACTGCATAAATATCCCTGACGCCCTTTCTGAATTAATTTACAAGCCTTTGCTGCAGAAATTAAATAAGATGGAGGAGTCACTTCTTGTCCCTGAAAACTAAACTCTAATTGTCCCGGAGGGTGGAAACTGATTTGATTAGTCAAACAGTCTATCGTTGCACCATATTCACTTAACCAGTCCATGCCCAAAATAACATCAAAGTAAGTCATGTCGAGAGGTAATAGATTAGCATACACTCGACTATCCCCGAGTTGGAGTTCACAAGCTAGGTATACAGAAGCACAGATCATAGAGTCTCCCAACGGTGAAGACACACACAACACACAAGGCAAGTTTTCTTCGATTTTATCTAAATTAGGAGCAAATAGTTTCGACACAAAAGAATGAGTGAAGCTAGAATCAAATAATACATGAGCGAAATGACTGTGAACAATAAATGTACTTGACACCACCGTTGCCGCATTCTGTACATCACTCGGGACTAAGGCAAACACCCTGCCTTGTCTCACGGTATCTTTATTGTTAGTCGGTTTAGCCGGTACCTTGGTGTTGGTAGTTGGTGTAGACCCCACTGAACTGGTAGTGGTCTTGTTGCCATTTTGTTGCTGCTTCTTCTGAGGGCAATCCCTTATCACATGACCCGTTTTTCCACACTGGAAGCAAGCTCCAGACTTCCGATAGCATATTCCACGATGCTTCTTTCCACACTTCATACATACGGGAATTGAATCCTGACTAGGGGTAGAAGCATTTGAAGTCCCTGAATTTTACTTCTTGTTTGGGGGAGTAATTGACCCCTTTGACCATTGGCTGTTTTGTCTTTTTCCTTTCCATTCAGAAATTCGATTTTGTGCAGTAATATTCCCTTCCGCTATGACGGCCCTCTCCAACACATCTACATAGGTAGGCAACTTCAACATATTAACTCGGTCCAGAATAGCACCCCGTAGTCCCCCTTCAAACTTCCGTGCCTTCTTATAATCCGTGTCTACCATATGAGGCGTGAACCGGGCTAGCTCTGCAATTGGGCTTCATATTCAACAACAGTCTTGTTCCCTTGTCTGAGAGTTTCAAATTCAGTCACCTTCTTATCTCGCATACTTTAAGGGAAATATTTATCATAAAACAATTCCAAGAACTTGTCCCATGTCAATCCCTGATGTATCGTTCTCGTAAGCATCCACCATCTCCGTGCCTCGTCCTCGAGGGTAAAGGCAGCCAGCTGCACCTTTTGAGCTTCGGTGCAAGGGAAAACTTCAAATAGTTTTTCTATTCCCAACACCCATGCTTCTGCTTTCATTGGTTCTATTCCTCCTTTGAAAGATGGCGGTTTCATCTTTTTAAACTCCTTAGTGAGGATAATGGTTCGGTCTTCAGCATGAGAATCTTGTACTGACGGTGGAGGTACCGGTGGCGGTGGCAGTTGTTGTTGTGGCTGTTGCAGTTGTTGCCGTAGGGTCTCCGCCATTTCCATAATCATTCTCTCCATCCTATCCAATCGTGTTGAAAGGGTTTGAAGGGGAAGGGAAGGGTTTCAATGTCTCTTTCTAGACACTTCGACGGTACGGCAAGACTAGTTCGGGGACAGTAACGATCAACGGTACGCACACATCTCATCTCTTCTTTTCTCCCTCAAGCATCTGCATATCTAAACGATTGTCAAGCACATGCTTATAATCACTCCTTTTGATGGCTAAGGTCGCGAATGGCAAGAACGATCTCGTGGTGGAGGTGGTCGGCGTAGATGAGGTAGGGAGGGGCGTAGTTGTGGGTTTGTCGGGGTTAAGGTAGTTGAGGGGAACTAGGGGTGCCTCTCTTTCTCTTTCTCTCTCTATATATATATCTATGCATGTATGTATATGATTGTTTTCAAATTCTGATGATTCTGATGTCTACTACTAAAGGGGTTTCGTCTAGGGCTAAGGATGTAGTTAGGGATTCGAAATCACCAGCTTTATTGGGTTTAGGGAAAACGGAATCGGGTTTGAGCTTAGAGCAAGGGGAATCGGTAATTTCCTCTAAGGAGGTTCCTTCGATTAGTGTTAACAGATTGATGATGGGGAGTGAAGGAAGTCTTAGCCCTAGTTCAAGGTCGTTCGTTGCTTCGGTGGTGCGTTGGCCATTTGTATAAGTGAGGGTTGAGTGATGTGAGTCCCCCCCATTATATTGTGTGAGAGGGTGGTTTGTGGGTTGAGTGACTCAGAAGTGAGGGTTGAGTGATGTGAGTCCACCCCATTATAAGACAAATAGATTATTCTTCCTATGACTTTTTGTTGATGCATATTTACTCAGAAGTCTCTTGAAATTAGATGAAATTGTTCTAACTGATGGTTTCTCCTTTGTAGCTCATATTCTTCTGTATCTGTACCCTTTTCTTAATACGACAAGCAAATCAAGGCCATTTGAGTACTTGAGGCTGACTAGCTTAGGCGTCATTGGTGCTTTGGTGAAGGTGCTTCAGTATGCTGATATTAATTTTTATAGCTTATGAATAATCTTGCTCTTTTTCATATAATTTTCATATTTCTATTTGTGGAGGTAATACATTCCTTGAAATAGAGTGGCAACTAAATATGTTAGTAACCCTCTGTAGATTGCAACTTGTTTTCAAATGATAAAATTGAAAAACAAAATAATATACATAAAGAATTAAAATCTAATTCATGTCTATAAAAATAAATAATAAAACAAATCCATAGCTAGCATGAGTTTTATGGGCATGATCTTATCTCTTGAATGTTCCCCAATGACAGAAATATTTTTGAAGAAGTTAATAAGCTGTTTAAAATGAATTTACATATTCTCTCAGTTCCAACCAATGGTTATTATTATTTTGACAATTTTAATTAATATACATTTCCTTAGAAATTCAAACTGGTTCATAATTTCAAGGTATGTATTATGTTGTCTAGATGTTGGTTTTAGTTTTTATTAACAGCAAAATGAGTAAGACATGTATAAACTCGTACACAGCTAGAATTAAATCAGACCGATAGAATTCTTATTCTTCCCAATCAAGTGAACCCTGTATTCAAGGTTTTACACCAAAATGCACAAGGCTTTCAATTATTAGTATGCAATGCCATGATCTACATAAACGATACATTTATTTTCAAAGATTCGACCAACACTACCAGAAATGGTTTTCTAGGAACTCCAGATCACTCGTATCTTTTTACTGCTAACAAATACCCACCATACAGCGCTTATTGTGACAACTGTTTTAGATCTATGCATAACAGACCCCACTTGTATGGCCTCTTGTACTTAAACGTATCAACAAAGAGAATGAACTCAAAACTGCAATAATTGCAAATAAAATTTGAATGAACAATATTTAGAATACATAGAAAGGCCTTCAACTTACTCTCTTTCCATCTGGGCCCATGCACCAATGACCAGAAGATCGACCAGTTGTGTGAACCTGCCTTTTCCCAGCATCTTTTGGAATGCCCACACTGAAAAGCTTGGCCTTCACATGGGCACACACTCCACACGTAGAAGACAGCACATGGGGGCATCCACTTTCTTTTCTTTTCTTTTTTTTTATCACCCACTCCATACCTATTTATTATTATTATTGTTTATTTTATTTTATTTTTTGACAGGTTCAAAAAAACCTGCCGACCATTTAGTCACCACACCCCCACTTTCCTTTTCTTTCTTTTATTTTATTTTATTATTTTCTCTCCACTCAAGAACAGTCACCACACCCCACTTTCATCACCACTGCCCCATATGTATATATATATAGATATTTCTTTTTATTATAATATCTTACTCAAACCCCAAACCATTATCATTATTATTATTTTTTTTTTGGGCGTGTTCCCCCTCTTTAAAAAAATAAAATAAAATAAAAAAAAATAAAAAAAAATTAACAAAATAAAAATTAAACAAAAATAAAAAAATAAAAAAAACACCCACAACCCTTTTTCAATTTGCACAGCAACCATCTTTTATTCATCGTCGGGGCTCAACCCCGATCACACTTTTACACCAAAAAAAAAAAAAAAAAAAAAAAAAAAAAAACAAACAAAAAAAAAACAAACAAACACAACAACCACAACCCTTTTTCAATTTGCACAACAACCATATTTTATTCATCTTCGGGGCTCAACCCCGATCACACTTTTACACCAAAAAAAAAAAAAAAAAAAAAAAAAAAAAAAAAAAAAAAAAAAAAAA